ATACAAAGATTAGAAAAGCAGGGAATTGGTGGACTACACAATGACGTGCGCTTTCAACAAGGTGAATTTATTCATTTTGCTTCCTCCCTCTGAACTAACCATTTCTATCCCCACTCTTCACAGATGCACACTTGCAAAGATCCAATGTCAGTGCCAAATCAAATCCCCCCCCGGTGATTATTTTCATTCAGCACTTTGGATCCTCTCAGTCCTGGCAATGCCTGTGCAGTATAGCCCCATAGACGTTTTGGCTGGCTGTCAGAATTCTGCTAGAATAAAAAGCAATAGGAAAAGAGCCAAGATTTCAGTAACTGTGTTGTGAACTTTGAACATTAATTTCTCTACAATGCTGACAAATACAGGGATGAATGAAGCATGTTTTAAAGTGATTTTACTGCTTGTTCAGTATATGTAAATACTTTATTGTGCATGAGCTAGACACTCATTTAATAGCTTTAATTTTACCAAGATTGGTTGCAGCTGTTCTGTTTCAAATGTCACTTTATGCATTCACATAACTCAACAGACCCCATTTGTCCTGGCAGTTGGGTCCCCTGCTGACGTAGCATCATCTGTCAGCAGTTTAACTCTTCAAGGCATAGAAGCATAGAAGTCCAACACAATTTTACTTCACTTAATTGTAGAACAGGGGATGTTTTTCCAGTCTTTTGAAGTGTTTTGAAGACAATGATTTTGTCTCTGAGAAGAACTAACGCTGACTAAGAGAATATGAAAGAAACAGTGTCTAGCTAGGACTGAACTAGCTCCCGCTAGTTTACATGAGTTTACATGTTTACATGTTAAAGGTTAAAGTTTACATGTTTACATGAGGGGAAGACAGTGGCGATACCAAATCACATAACTAAACATGCTGCAGTGGCCCTAAAACATCACTAGATGTCAACATATGTCATACCAATACTAACCTTATACAGTTCAATACAACAACAGAAAAAAACAAGCAAGTGGAACAGAACAGCAGCACAGTAGTTATTTCTTATTTTTATTGAAAATAATGGAAGATAAGTTCATACAGTTCCAATGAGCCTATTAATTTTGCAAGTTGTTTACTGCAATCTGCACTGTAATCTTTGGTCGTCAGTCAAACCTGTCAAAACTGCAGATATCAGATAATAAGTGTCTATTTTCTGTGGATGGCTCTATCTGAAAACCCAAAATGCTGAAATTTACAATATATTTGTATGCATTTTGAACTAGATTTTTTCCTCCTTTGGAACTCTATACTTACTGTATGTGCCATTAATTTATTATTATCTGGCTTGTGTGAAGTCCTCCGAGTTTTAGTGTATGTAAAATCCTAACAATTAACTCGTTATTTGCTCCCTTTTATTCTGTTAAATATACTATTGGAAACATTTTGCTATATCTGTTTGATTAGCGTAAAAAAAGGTGTTGCTCTTGTCAAATTGCAAAATTGGAAAGATGTCCTTTGTTCCCTGCACACTTCCTGGCTTTTAACACAGACTACAGCATGATTAGCCTTTATGTTCTCTGATCTAAAGCAGGCCATAGATGGATCCTGAATTTGAATAGTTCAGCAGAACCAACCAAATTTCGATCCATCTATGGGCAGGCTGATTGTACTAAAGTAGATTCATTGATCAGCTTCAGTACAACAGACTGTTACTTTTTTCCTGCCATCACCACCAGTGGCTCTAGCCGCCAGCAGTGATCATTGTATTTTGCCAGTGGGGAAGGCTCCCAGCCAGCAGAACACAATAGCTCTGCAGGAGGAATTCCCTCATCAGCTCTGACTGTGTCGATGTGGGAATCAAGCAATTTTCTTTCTTTCAACCTGTGTGAAAATAAAATTACATAATGAATGGCTAGCCTAAGAGTGGGAGTGACTGAGCATTTAGCAGAAGACAGTAAGGAGAGCTGACAACACTCAGTCCACAATAATGCCGTGTGGTGTCAGCCCACAACAGAGCTTAGGGAATTTCTGGCAAATCAATAAGTAACCTGTTCTTGCAGGTCTTTAAAAGGGTAAAACATGAGGAAATGTGCATGTAATGCAGAGATGTACTGTACAGGGGCGGACTGACCATTTGGGAACTCGGGCACTGCCGAGGGCCCGGGGTTAGTAGGGATTCCCATGAGATGCCTCTGGTACCATTCATAGGCTTTTTTTTGGGTGTGGTTTGAGGGTGGGCGAGGACACAGGGGGGGCCCCTGTTGCCCGGGGGCCCCATGAGTTGTCAGTCCGCCTCTGGTACTGCATATGTTTTCATTTAACTTGCCTTGACATATGCCTTAAGTTTACCATATTCAAATCAAAAAAGTGTAACTAACCACATAGCCTAGACTTCAACAAACAACTTCATGATACCTATTAAATCATAAGTTCGTCATCAAGAAAAAGGTGCATTTATTATTTTTTTCTGATGAGCCTGCAGATCATTGCCCCTGAGATCAGCCCAGCAGACACTGCCTCCAGCTTGCCTGCCCATACCTTCATACAGGCAGACAGTTACAAAATTGGAGAAAGTGTCAATGAACTATGAGAGTGCTCATCAGCACCCTTTACAATTCATTAAGAACTACAAGCCATCTGCCACAGTAACAGATGTAGCAGACTTGCAGTTCATTCATTCACAGATTGCTGTGAATGAATAACGTGGCTATGTGGAGCTCTGTCGTTTATGAAAAATGACAGTGCGTGTGGTTAGCCTACTGTCATGGGGAAGGGGGAAGAGGTGCAAGGGGATAGACCTGAAGCATGTTTCACATTACACCCTAAATTTGGGTATAATGTGTACCATGCTCCAAAAGTTTAATCTATCTTTTAAAACTTTATTCAAGACATTTTTTAGAAAGCTTTTTCAGAAGTTCTAATCTTTCCTCATTCTGCTAAAAATGTATTTTTTTGTCTGTATTCTTATTGAATAGACTTCCCATCACTTCACGTATTAATAAAATGATTTGGCTGGAGTTAAGTTTTAAAATACAGAGGTTATAAAGTATATATTCATTTATTTTAGCTTAGAGTGCATCCAGTCATTAAATTTGGTAACTGTATTAGTTTTTTCTCAGGTTTTTCTTTCTTTTTTTTTTAGCTCAAGGAGCAGTGTTGTCACCCTTGTGCAGAGGTCTCCAAACTTTTAAAACAAAGGGCCAGTTTACTGCCCTTCAAACTTTAGGGGGGCCGGATTGTGGCCAAAGGGAGTAGAAAATGCCCTGGCATCACTCTACCTTATTTTTGGCTAATTATTATCCCTTATTGCGCTCTGTTACTTCCCTGCTTCATTCTTGGCAGTTTCCTTCTTTATCTTGGATTGGCCGGATACATGCTGTCAAGATTACTTTCTTGCCGAAGATCCTGTAATTTTTCCGCACTCTTCCTATTCAGGTCCCTGCGTCTTCTCTTCGTGTACTGCAAAGCCTGTTTCATTTGGGCTCATAAACGTCCCAGAGTGCCTAGAGCCACTCTGTATACTCATAGATTGCAGGGAGGTTTGGGAGTTCCAGATATTTCTACATACTACTATTTGGCAGCTCAGATTTCCCAGCTGTTTATGCTTCATTCCAAGACAGATATCCCGTTATGCGTACTCCTGGAATGACCCAACTGTGCTCCGCTTTCTTTAACTACATTGCTTTGGCTCCTGCCCTCCAGATTTGAGCCCTATCATGCTTCACAGTTTACGGGTAATTTGATATCATCGTTTCTACCTCTTTTGCCAATTACACATAATCCTCTATTTCCACCGGGCCTAGAACATCCCCCTTCTTTCTCTTGGTGGACCTCCCATGGCTTTGTCATTGTACATGATTTTCTGAATGCTCATACGTTTCCATCATGGGAATCTCTTCAAGAATCAAGGGGGGTCCCGCCACGAGAATATTATCAGTATTTGCAGTTGCGCCACTGGGTCTTATCCCTCCATCATACCTCTACATATCCTTATCGCAAAACGCCCTTTTAACATGTCTGTCAGCATTCTCCAGGGTCCCCTGGGCTCATTTCTGTAATTTATGCTTCCCTTAACAGTAGGACCTCCTCACCACCCCTGTCTTATGTCTGTCAATGGGAGCGAGATCTGGGTGTTTCAATTGCGGCGGAGGATTGGTGTAGGGCCTGGGGGATGGTGGCAAAATGTTCATTCAATACAGTCACTCTTAAGGCAGCCTACAAAGTTCTCCTGCGGTGGTACTGGGTCCCGACTCGGACTGCTCACTTTAATCCGACTGGCGGAGATAGGTGTTTCTGGAATTGTGGTCTACGTGGGGACGTCTTGCACATTTGGTGGTCATGCCCGCGATTGATAGGCTTCTGGTCTAGGGTTTTTGGTTTGCTACAAACGCTATTTCATATTACGGCCCATAGGGATGCAAGGGTGGTCCTCCTGCATTGGCCAATTTTGGGTCTGTCTAGGTCTAACCAGAAATGTGCCATAGCTCAAGCTTGGAGAACCCCTTCAGTTGTCTTCCAGGGGGTGAAGACCCGGATGAATGCTATGTTGATCAATGAACAGATGTCTAGCGTTCTTCATGATTCTCATTCAAGATTCCTTAAAGTTTGGGAACCTTGGATACATTATTCCTTGCCATCCCTGCCCCCTACTAGTTATGGCCTCTTATAGTCGCTGCCTGTGCTTGCCCTGGATCCATTATTCTTCTAGTTTTCCTTTCCTCCATGTTTTCTTTCTGATTCATTTTTTTTTTTTTCCTTCTTCTTTTCTCTCTTCTCTCCACTTCTTTTTTCCGGTAATATGATGGATTGTTACTGCCATGTTTGGTTCGGCTTTTTGCCGTCCCTCCTTGTTGTCATTGGACATTCCATTATTTGGCTAATACAAGTTAGCTGGATGTATCTAATTATGTATTATTGTTCTGCTCTGCCCCTGTGTGGGTGTATCTTGAGCTTGTTGTATTCTTAAAACAAACCTTTCTTAATGAATATATTGAACCAGAAAATGCCCTGGCATCAGTGGGAGTAAACAATACCCTAGGCTTGGTGGTCAGTGGGAGGAACACTGCCCATCGTTGGTGCCAGTGGGATAATTAGTTCCCCATTTCTGGTATCAGTGGAAGGAACAGTGCCCCATCATTGGTGCCAGTGGGATAATTAGTTCCCCATTTCTGGTATCAGTGGGAGGAACAGTGTCCTGTTGCTGGTGTCAGTGGGAGGCACAGTTGCCCATCGCTGGTTTCAGTGGGAAGAACAGTGCCCGTTGTTGGAATCAGTGGGAGGAACAGTGCCCCATCTTTGGGGTCAGTGGGAGGAACAGTGCCCCATTGTTGGGGTCAGTGGGAGGAACAGTGCCCCATCGTTGGGGTCAGTGGGAGGAACAGTGCCCCATCATTGGGGTCAGTGGGAGGAACAGTGCCCCATCATTGGGGTCAGTGGGAAGAACAGTGCCCCGTCATTGAGATCAGTAGGAGGAACAGTGCCCCGTCATTGGGGTCAGTGGGAGGAACAGTGCCCCATCGTTGGGGTCAGTAGGAGGAACAGTGCCCCATCATTGGTGTCAGTGGGAGGAATAGCGCCCCATCATTAGTGTCAGTGGGAGGAATAGTGCCCCATCGTTGGGGTCAGTAGGAGGAACAGTGTCCCGTCATTGGGGTCAGTGGGAGGAACAGTGCCCCATCGTTGGGGTCAGTAGGAGGAACAGTGCCTCATCATTGGTGTCAGTGGGAGGAATAGCGCCCTATCATTGGTGTCAGTGGGAGGAATAGTGCCCCATCGTTGGTGTCAGTGGGAGGAATAGTGGTTCATATCAGTGGAAGGAAAAGTGCCTCAAGGGCCGGATAAAAGCAAGCAAAGGGCCACAGTTTGGAGACCCCTGCCCTAGTGTAAGAAGTATATTAGTCTACAAAACCCCTCTCCCCTTATCTCAGCCACAACCTAGGAGCAAATTAATCTGTAATGCACAAAGAGAACTGGGCAGAGCTTACAACACTGCAGCATAGTGTACAGGTGCTACATTTCGTCTACTTATTGAATAGCTAAAAAACACTTTCAATTGTATATTTAACAGACCAAAGAGGAGCAAATAAGAGAAGTACATTGCTGGATATTACCAAATTCGAGAGTGAATTCAGATTTTGCAATGACTTTAGGATGCATCTAGTGTTCTGGTGCCCAACACATGCCCCTTAGGTCATATTTGGCCCACCAGCACTCTACGTATAACCCGAGGCATCTTTGGCTAGGTGGGGTGTCCCCTACCAGAAAGGGGGTTGCTTCTGGGGCTACCTCCCTGAATGATCCTTGTCCAAACTCTCCCCATATAGCAGAGCCAGAAATTATATTCCTCCTCTGTCCCTCCTCCACAGGAGCCTCTCCCTATTAGTAAATTCAATGTCCCTAATCAGCATGGGTCCTCTTCCTAATCTATCCATTTCGCAAAGGCTCACCAAATGCAGTGGGGCAGTGCTATTTATTAGCATTGCTGTCACTAAAGATGGCTGCAGGAGTCAACCAGTGTTGCAGCATTCAATTGGACAGCTGCTCCCCTGATGACACCTATGGAGGCTTCAGAAGAACAAGGATCCTCTCAGGCTCCATTCGCTCTGCAAAGCGACCGTCTAAAGAGCAACACCTACAGAGGGGAGGATAAACTGCACCTGCCTACAGATGTCTTTGGGCTGTCTGTGTGGATCATGTCTGTGCAAGTGACCCTGGAACTAGGTTACTAGGTGAAAGAGAGTTGGAGGAGAAGCTCCTTGCACAGCCATCTGTGGAACAGTTCCTATTTGTGTGCAGTGCATGACCAATCATCTATCTGTGCATTGTGGTATTGCAGATTACCACAACCCATATTTGTAAACCTGGCCTTTTCAGACTAGTGAGTCACTGTGATACATGTTAAAATACGCATTTTACCCAGCATTATTGCAATGCCATTCATTTTGCAATGCACATACACAACCTTCTACAATACACCTGTGTCTTTTTGTGCACCATAATGCACAGATGTGAGTTATCTTTGCGTTGTAGTGTGCTGCTTTAAAAAAATGGTCTGGTTTAATTTTTTCCTGTACTGAAGTGCTATCTATGTTTAGGTACATATGCCATTTTGCAGCCTCTTGAACATGTCGGGGTCACACATAAGGCCCTCTACGTTTACAAAGTTGATCACAACTGAACTAATGGTGCACCTATTGTTTTAACTAAGACAGCAAATTAGTGAATTATATTTCTCCAGTTCTAGCTGAGTATTTCTGTTCCCTGGGACAAGTGACTTTCATTGTATATGATAGTCCTCAATATTCATAAGCCTCTATGACTGGTAGTAAGTTATGTGACCCGATATGGTAAATGGACTGGTATATGTCTATTAAAGCCCACAATATATTCTGTTTTTGGTACTTTGATGGAATAATAGGAAACTGTCACAAACAAGGCACTTAAACATACAGTATTTGATTAATTCATCATTATTTTTCTGAGTCTATCAGTGTCTGTATTCATGTTACTATGTATTAAAAAGTTAATTCCGTGTATGCCCATGCAGGACAATTATCCGCAGTGCCCAGGTACATAGCAGAATGCAGAGATACAACTTTGTGCATCTTTTATGCAGTTTTTCCATGATGATTTCCACTGATGGTAATGGTAGTATACGTATATTTAAAATGGAAAAAATGATTTCTTCAGTGTCTCAGCCTGTTCTAAAACACAGTGATCTTGCCTCATACGTGAAAAACAAAATATGCAAATCCCAATTATAAAAATTACAGCAGAAGTGCAAAAACTTAAAAGATCCCTATACACTAAACAGTCTATAAAAAATAATCTGTAAACATTTCAGGGAAAGTATAATTTGTTCCAAGAAACAGTGAGCAGATTTTTAATTGCAGCTCTTAAAAGCAGTTTTTTTGTTTAAGAATAAACTTGCTAAGCTCTATTTGTTTCTGAACTAACCACATAAATGAATGCCATGCAGTTTTAAAAAAGCAATCACCCTTTCTGTGGGGATAGAGAACACTTACATAGTACATATGACTCAGTCAGGCACCTATGGAATAATAACAATAGTATTTTTATAGCGTTTTATCCCAAAGGGGCGCCAAGCACTTTACAAAACATAATAAATCTAAAAAACAATATTGTGAAGGTTATGGCTAATGAATCCTATGGGCTTGAATAAATAAGCAAGTTTAGTTTGTTTTTGTTTTTTTAATATATCTAGGGATGGATTAAATCCAGTAGTGTTGGATCTCTATGTGCAGAGACTTGTGCAGCATATGCTGTCAGATGGATTCTGAGAATACCCAGGTTTTTCCTGCCAGAAAAAGGGAGGATGTGAGCTGGGATATATGGCTTTATCCGATTCTTCTAGCATATAAGGCCCATGTTATGGTCCTATGAAAGTTGGTAGACCAACCTTAAAATGCACCTGTGCCCAGACTATGAACATTAAATTATTTATATATTCTTAACAAGAGCTTTAAAGTTGAACTCTTGGCAAAAAAAATTGTATTTAAATATATTACTCAATAGCCATAAAACATTGAAATCCACTTTTTGTGCATTAAATTCCTTTTCAAACCCAGATGTTACTTTGTAAAAGTAGCAATGACATTACCACTGTGCAGTACATTGCTTGTGCACAGACAAGAGATGTGGGAGGGGCCCTGCAGGCTCTACCCATTACAAGCTGCCTGCAGAAAACTGCAGGAGGGGGTGGAATGAAGACCAGTCATCCTACACAAGGAGAGAGAGCAACACTGACCGGTCTTTAATACAGAAAGCTCCTACATAGAGGGAAAGTTTCCCATTATGTGCAGTGGTGATGTCACTGGACAGATATGAAGAAATACACAAAGCACACCAAGATTCAAGGAAGAATACATTGGATTCTTGTACGTAGATGGTGTTTGCTTATTCCAGAGTTCAGCTTAAAGCCCCCAGTCATACCCTAGCCATTTTGTTGTGTGTTTCCCAAAGCACAACAACGCTCAGCATTAAACTTCCCTTTATATTCAATGGTGTCAGTTCACACCTGAGTCTCATGCTGCTGCTTTGTTTATGAGCTTTGGTTTTTTTTGGACAAAGTTACTTGTTATCAACCTCAATCCTATGAAAAAAATGGAGAGTCAGCAGCGTCCCTGTGGGATGTGAAGACGTTCATCTACCTGGTGAGGGTTCTCAAGAACCTTCATAACCCCAGTGGTGCCCATTACATGAACCATGGCAAGTGGCAGAAAGCTTTGGAAGGAATTGGCATCGCGGACATGACTCAAGAGCTCTGATAGCAAAAGACACCACAACACCACACAGAAAAACCAGGATGCAGATACAATGATAACAACATATTATGTCACTGTTGATACTGCTTTTCATTGGCCAAAACACCTGAAGCTTGAAAACAAATGAAAAACACTTCAAATGGGTGCGCAAAATAAACTGCTAAAAAATGTGCCCAAAAACACTGAATGGGGGCTGAGACAAGGCTTTACTATCCTTCATAGCTGCAGGTACTTTGAAGTATTCCATCCTCTCAGATCACAACAGAGACTCTGAAGACAAACTTACATTAGAAGGCTGGCAGGCTGCCAAGTTTTAGTGCTTCTGTTCTGAACTCTGAAGCTGAATGTCTTCACAATACCTGTATTTACAGAGATCAGTCAGTGCAATCTCCATTTTACTGGCAGCCAATGGGTGAGGTGAATTGGGGTAATAAGTGAATAATGGACTCATTTGTCTAGCGGCTGAATTTTTGCACAAATGTTAATCAAGACTTTTTCTGGCAAACCCTGTGTACAAAGCATCACAATCGTTCAGTCAAGATGACAGGAATGCATAATCAGGGGGAATAAGTTGGTTTATTCTTGCATATGTAAGAATGAGGAGTGGAACTCAGTTTGATCTTAATGGGAGGAATTAACAAAGACTGGAGCACACAAAAAATGTGCTTCCTGCGACAACTTAGTGAAAGTGTCATGCGCCAATTCATTCATTTTTCACATGATGGTCTGCCAAATGCTAGCAAGCTTATTCTGGTGTGTGAGAAAATTTTGGTAAATACCTAACGTAACCTTTTACTGGGATCATCCTAAATTTTCTTCTCCTCCTCCGTCTTCCTGCATTGCTGCACCTCTTCGGTTATCCATACACATCCCCGCTATACTGCAAGGCTGATTGTCACTGTTCTTCCCTCTTCACTACAGTATGTATGCCAAATTGGTAATGGTGTACATTTTAGAATTGTTTTTAATTAGAACACTTTAATATGTTATCGCAAGGGATTAGACATTTAAACAAACTGTTGCATAGTAATTTTAATGCTATTTGGCATGGCTAGAGTAATAAGACATAGAACTTGTGTTGATAATGCACCTATATTTATACTACAAGAATGACATAATTCACTTTGTTAATCCCTTTGAATGTGTAAATGCTAAACTTCCATCAACACACCCCCCAAGGTTGATCGATGAGTCTGAGTAGTGTGTCCACCAAGAGTCAGACAAAAGAAAGCAAGTCTTGTAAAGATTTTGGGGTTGATTTACTAAAACTGGAGAGTGCAAAATCTGGTGCAGCTGGGAATGGTAGCCAATAAGCTTTTAACTTCAGCTTGTTCAATTAAGCATTGACAATAAAATCTGAGAGCTGACTGGTTTCTATGCAGATCTGCACCAGATTTTATACTCTCTAGTTTTAGTAAAGCAACCCCTTTATGTGTGGGCCATCTGTCACCAATATCTCAGTTTTATCACTCTCACTTCTG